ACACACACACACACACACACACACACACACACACACACACACACACATGACTTCACCTGAGCTCAGAGAGAGCAGTTGGCACAGATGGTCCACACAGCCTCCTGAGTATGTTCGCTTTTCTCCCACTGTCTTGGTAAGTTAGCTTTTACTTTCTTCTTTCTCCACCCACCCCCAAAAGGTAGGCATGCCCCCAGGGTTGGGGGCAGGGGTGACCGCTAAGCTACTCTTTTTCTTTTTTTTTCAAAGCCACAGCAGTTAGCAAAATGGGTGAGATCCCTACGTCCCATCTTCTCTTTGATATGTTAATGCACCTGGTCTAAGGAAGGAAACAACAGTAACCTTGAATGATTCCTCCACTCAAAAAGGCTCCCAGGGTTTTATCTGCAGTATTACCATGATTCCAAGCTTTCCTTGGGCTAGACTTTAAAGTCCAGGGGAAAACATGCTCATTTGATGAGGCATTCTCTACCTTCTTGTGGCACAAAGAAACACCCTGGGGCTAAAGCGGCCTGACACACACCCTTCTTACAATGTTTTTCCGTAGATCTAGACATGTTTAAGATGGGGGATTGATTATGGCTCAGAGACCTCAGCGTGAGTTGATCTTTGTATTTTCACACACCTAGCTGCACTTTTACCGATATCTGTATGCTCGAGGTGGCTGGCTGTATTACTTCCTTGTTTGCTGAATGGATATGCTGAGGGCAAACACCAATGCAGCTATGCTCAACCTTGGTACCGCAGGTGGATGGGCAGGCGTCTGACAGGCATGACAGGACTTTTAGCGTTCCCTACCTCCCCAGCCGTGGTGTGGGAGTTGATGGTGATCTTACAGGAACCTCCGCCATGGCAGTACACCGTGGACGTCATTTCCTGCCGGTGGATCAGAGCTTCAATTTCATCCCGGGAAGGCACAAACTCTCTGCATTTGGTTTTCTTTAGAGATTCGTAGATAAAGAGGGCATACTTTTCCATCTCGGTTCCTGGAAACTGTTCCCGTATCCTGGGAGACAAAGGGGCCTGTGAGTTGTAGATAGAGGCTGGCCAGCTAGGAGGAGCGGCACCGTGAGGACAGCAGAGGTTGGGGCTGACCCCTAGTGATGACAAGAGCAGATGTCAGTGTCTTCCTGGCTAGGTCCAGTTTTACTTCAAACATGGAAAAAAGTAAAGAACCAATATTTTCGAACAGTCTGCTGGAAGCTTTCCATGCGGCACAAGCTAATACCTAAAATGTTGATGCTTCAAGTTGTCTTGTATGTATCTATGTGTGCATGTACGTCTGTATAAATAAATAAATAAATAAATAATAAATAAATAAATAGATAGATAGATAGATAGATAGATAGATAGATAGATAGATAGATAGATAGGCCAAGGCCTTGAACTCAAAAAGATCTGCACGACTCTGCCTCCTGGAGTGATGGGATTCAAAGTGTGCACTACCACACCTAGACCTGGTCTTTTGTTCTGTTGAGATTTACTCTGTAGCCCAGGCTGGCCTTGAACTCTTGTTCCTCTTGCCTCAGCCTTTTAAGTGCTGAGATAACCAGAATGAGACACTATGTTCAGCTTTAAATATTGTTTTCCACAGTTAAGCAAAATAAGATTTAGCTGCTTTTGCCATACAGAAAACAACGAAACGACATATTTACTACTCAGATTCACCAAAGTAATAATTTTGTTATCTAACTGCATTACACATCCTCATGCTGTCAGAATCACACACACGCACAGGCACGCACGCACACCCATAGATGTAAAATGCCCCGTGGTAATTAAGTGTGCCCAGCTTTTCTCAGAGCCTCCCCTTGCCCGGCACCTCACCTTTTCAGGTGGAACTTGAGGTACTTGAGGATCCCACGGCTGGGCAGGAAGGTACAGCTGAGGCACGTGAGGATCTGCCAGCTGTAAAGGTTGCCCACACTGCCAGGATGGGGCACCTTGTTGGTCTGCTTGATGAGCTGGCAGTACAGCTCGTCCCGCAGAGGCCGCAGGTCGTGCCCAGTCTGCAGGATGCCCTGGATGATAGGGATGGGGTCGGACATGGACTCCAGCTGCTGGAGAGAATTGAATATCTTGATGGCTTCATCCTGAAGGGTTGTGTAGCCTTTGTCTTTGAGCACTAGGAAGAGAAAACCAACAGAAGTCACTCGAGGGGCTAGAAGAAAGTACAGCCTTGGAGACAAAAGGAAGGAATGATGTCGGGGAGTCAGCCACTTCCTCAAGTGGTGTCCACCCTACTCCCTGTATTCAAATCAGCTGAGAGAAGCAGGGGAGACACACGGGTGACTGAGCGGCACTGAAATTTTAGCATAAAAAGATCGTTCACTTAAAACCGGAACTATAGCTGGGTAGCTTCCTCACTAGGATGTGGCCTGTTTACCATGACTTAAAATGGATCACATCCTGTTGTTAATCCATTAGCACTTGAAAATACTTTAATTAAAAAATGTAGTAAATGCAACTAATCTGCCACACACCTGAGTTTCACCTCACAAATCTCAGATTTGCTACATACTTAACAGGAGCTGCCATTGGGCAACATCATGCTATGAAGCCCATTTCATCATACCTGAAGAATACACATACAATTCATTGGACACTGTGTTGAGAATTAAAGATTGACGGGCTGACGGGTACCTTCACACCACTGTAGTGCTGGCGTTGTATATTCTAAGGACTACTCTGAGTTCATGGAGAGTGCTGGCATTCTCTGTTGTCTCTTTCCATCAGTTGCTCTCCACCTTCCTAATGCTACGACGCTTTAATATAGTTCTTCATGTGTGGTGACCCCCCAAACATAAAATTATCTCATTGTTATGTCAGAACTGTAACTTTGCAACTGTTATGAATTGTGATGTAAGTATCCGATATGCAGAGTAGCTGACATGCAGCCCCCAGAAAGGTTGTGAACCTCTGCTTCACATCTTTATTTGAGTATACTTTACTACCTTTTTCCTGTCTGTGATGACCTACAGACTCTGAGTAAGCAACGTTTCCATGTTAGAGCTGAAGTTCATAGGAAAAACAGAGCCCTGGGCTCTGAGATCCCCACAGCTTTCTGAACTCACGGTTGAGATTTATGTCGCCATAGGGAAGCGGCAGCAGCGGGGAGTGCAGGGGGTGATGCGTATACCGAAGGATCGGGTTCCGCTTGTAAATCTGCTCTACCACATCAGAGTTCAGGCAGTTCTCCTAGAAAGCAAAGAAAGCAAAGAGGCTGCCTGTGGGAAGCGCCCCCACTGAGGGAGAGAATCCAACCACGCTCCCACACGCAGGAACATCTTTCAGAAGTTAGGGAAAATCTAGTGTTGATCATTTCCAGCCAAAGGGAATCAATCGACATTTGAAAACAGAACAAAAACACCTTGCGCAACTCAGTCTGTTTTAAGTACATGCTTCCCCATGTTATTAAAACTCCCCATCCCCAGAGATACACACATACACTCAAAAAATTTAATCTTCTTCATGATTTGCCATCAATCATGTGATCTTCAACACATTTTAGCAGACTTCATATTTTGAGTCTTGAGACAGAATCTAGGCTAGCCTAGAACTCCTGACAGTCTTGCTCAGGCTGCCAACCATGGAGCATCACTGCAGACTGGTTTTAATAATCTTTTTGGTACTCTCTCCTAAATTTTTTTTTTTTTTTAATTTATGTCATGTGTCTATGCCACATACGTGTGGATGTGTGGTGCCGGTAGAGCTCAGAAGAGAGGGCATCATATTCTTTGAAACCTGAGTTAGAGGTGGCTGTGAACTAAACAACATGGGTACTGGGAACTGAACACTGGCTCTCTAGAATAGCAGCGAGTGCTTAAACACTCCCTCTCACCAGCCTTCTGCTGTGTCTTCCACTTGAAAATGACACTTTTTGTGCCCACAGGGAGGTGTCCCCATTGGGCCTCTCTGCCTGGAATTTCAGAGCTTTTACATCGTGTGCTGAGGCCCCTCCCATCATGCCCAGGGATGGGAAGGTAGCCATGTCACTAAATAAACAGCAGAATTGGGAATAGGCACTGAATCATTCTTCCACAGTAATTTCATTCCCAGTAGGAAATCTTTCCAATAACACCCCATTGCAGGCTGGAACAAAAGCAACAGCTGAAATTTTCTAGTTAATTAGGGTAACTTGTCTCGTTTCTTAAGCAGTATTTACATCTGGAAAGTTCTATCTGGAAAGTTCTATTTATTCTCTGAATGTCTGAATTTGCAATTCAAGCAAAATAAAGCTTCAAAAAATACTTTTACGGCTAAAAATGAGATTGTTTGTTATATAAGGCCCTGGGTTCTGTAGGAAGCTTGGGTTATTGGAGAACAATGAATTTGCTGTAGTTTGGCCTCAGATTTCTAGAAAACATATCACATTTGAATCAGGAAACTACTTGATCTGGGTAGGAAATTACAGCCATGGATATTTTAGACCTTCTCCAGCTCCACCAGGGTCCACCGGACCATGAGAGAGGTTTGTGGCAGCTGGCTAATCACTGGTTCCTTCAACCAACATACATTATTGAACAATTAAACTTACAAGCTGGGAGTTGCAACTTAATGAAATCAATGAGAGCTGTTGTTTCTGGTTATTTGGAGGTAGCTGACAGAAGGGATTGTACCACTGAGCTATGCCCCCAACTCTCCACTCTGGGCTCCTTGTGAATGAATCTACTTCTGTGACCTAGAACTGAATGGTGAGAAATGAACCTCTGTCCCTTCTAAGAGGTCCCCAAATTGGCCTCCCGTGACCCTGGGATGGTTTGAGTGGTCCCTAACCCAGTACACACACAATCTTCTGTCTATATATAGAGTGCCAAATTCCAATGCCTCTGTAGACACAAATCACTTTTACTGTAAAATTTCACTTAAAATCTCATTTACACTCTGCACTGAAACATAACCAAGCGTTAGTGACAACTGAGCTGGTGAAACGCTGAGGTCTTTTTAGGCAAGGGAAGACTCCATGAAGCGTTCTTGGGTTTCTCACCTTAATATCTTGGATCAGCTGCTGGGTGGGCGTGTCAATTGGGGCCTTGCTGTCCGTCACATTTTGAATGGCACTGGACCACCTAGTGGCTTCGTTGAGTAGTTTGGTGTAGAGTCGGTAGCAGTGTTTGCGCCCATACACGGTGACATTCCAGTAGCCTGCAAGGCAGCACAGCACATGTGTGTCAACCTCACCCTCAGTCTTAAGTCACAAGGCTTGTACCTGGGACCCCGACAGCATCATGGGAAGTCTTAATTGGTGATTCAATTCAGTAAACACTGGGATTCTACACATGCTTTGTCAGGCACTCGGCATCCACTGACAAACAGAAAACAAGTGTCCCTGACACTGTGGATTTGTAGTCAAGAGAAGACAAGCATTATAACAAGGAGGCCGGAATGAAACACATCAATGGAAGCAGTCTCTCTCAAAAGACACAGGCTAGTGCCCTGTTCTAGGACTGGCAAAAATGCAAATGTACAATTCATCCTGGCATTCTTTCCACCTCCTGCTTCTCCTCCTCCTCAGCCCCTTCCCGCAGCAAAGACCACTGCTAAAGAGTCCGTGCGACGCGTGGCATCACCCACATCTGACACACGTAAACTATTTTTAAAAGCTCCATATCACAACTAAAGGCAGAAATCAAAAGAAGCAAACTTCAGGAACTCATATAGTGCCACGAATTAGGGGGAAAAACAAAAACAAAATAAGCCAGCCTACCTACCCAGCTGTTTCTTATACACTAGGCCAAAATCCATGGAGTCTGAAGGTCTTTTATATGTTTTTGTTCTTACCAGACTCTTTCTGCATCCCTGAAAAATCAACCTGTCTTCATTATGGCTTTAAAACAAAGCCTTTAGAACCAAGCACAGCCAGCCTCAAGAGCAGATCTAAACCAGAATTTCATTTGGGGAGGAGGAAGCCAAAATACAAATCTCATCCCTTCGCGGGGGCAAGGCCTGGCCTTCTGAGATCTGTCACCCTGCGTGTTGAGCCTTGCTGGGCTTCCTTCCACCTGGGGCCTTGGATACCTGTCTCTTTGAATATCTTCTCATCCGGGGGCACCACGGAGCACAAGCTGTTGAGGACCAGAGTGCCTAGTTTCAGGGCGTTCTTCTCTGAGCTCTTGTAGTAATCCAGGGAATTGTGCGTCAGGACAAACCACCGCTTCTTTAGTTTCAGTGAGGACATCTTTGGACTGTTCTTCACTTCTTTATGCAGCCACCCTGGAAAGGAAAGCTCAAGTGTCATTGGAAGACTATGAAGAGGGGCTGAGGAGGATAAAGGTCAGTGGTGGAGTACTTTCGGGGCATACCTGAGACCACAGCACCCAAGCCTAGCACAGGACAAAACAAGCCTAAGTCAAAACTGTAAGTGTCATGCCATCAATTACATCTGCAAGGCATTAAATATGAGCTGCACATTGACCTACTGGCTAGAAAACGGCCATGATCACTGCTTGTTGTTTTCTAAACTCTTCCGTCCAGGTACCCTGGAGAAGCTGTTTAAGGTTGGGGAGGGGGCTGTGTCACACATTGCTGCGTAAGGGCGGAGCCTGAGTCTGCAGTCCCAGCACCCAGGTAAAGAGTATAGTGGTCTGCCCCTGCTGTCCCAAAGAGGAGGGTTCCCTAGACCTCACTGGCCATCTGGTCTAGCTTCATCAATGGGCTACAGGTTTCGTGAGGGACCCTGACTCAAGGAGACAAAGAGACATGGCTGGCAGTCACCTCTCACAAGGAACTCCTGGCCCTGCACCCTGGCGTCCCCCTTGGATCTCTGCAGCACCGTTATCCAATGGTGCATCTCCTCCGGTGTGTCCGCGCTGCACTGGAGCACCCGGTTGGCCGTGATGATCACAAACGAGTTGGGTCTGAGAGATGAGACAGGGCGAGAAGAAAGTGGAGGCTCTCAGACCTGTCAGACCTGGGCACCACCTGTCTGCACCAAGGCTTCACAGCCTTTTCCCAGGCGTAGGGGTCCCTGGGAGACACTGGGGCGGTATTTATATTTCATATTAAGGCAAACCTTGCTCATATTCCTTTGGCACTTATTTTATGCATCGTTAACCTTTAAACTTGGAGGAAAACATTCATCCGGAAAAAGCCTGACAGGGAAACCATTTATTCCACAAGACTTTCCAGAAGAGACTAATCCTGGGAAGGCAAAATAAGGTAACCATGGGGGATTTTTTTTTTTTTTAAATGCATCTCTAAAACCAATGTCTTCCTGCCTCTGGATATAGCTTTGGATAGTATTTCGGTGAGTTGAGAATGAAACAGCAGACAGTGGTAATAGAGGAAGATTAACAGCTAGGTGTCAGGGGAACATCTTATGCCCTTGACTGTACCTGGTACAAAAAGATACTTGTGTCCACATCTTCAAAGCCACTCAACAAGGCCTTGTCTCCCAGATGGGGATAAAGTGATAGTGGAAACTTACTGTCCTTCAGATGTTGTCTGTCAATGCTCAGAGCTTCTCACAGGACTGTCCACACCCGAATTCCTTCATCTAGATGCTTATGCTTCTAACTGTGAATTCTCTCTGTGAGCTTTCAAATGTTCCCTGAAGCAAAGCACTACCATAGTTCAAGAAAAAAAGGTTAACTGATTGCCTGCCTGTGGCTAGAGGTCCCTTAAAAACTGAAGCTGAGGAGCTGGAGACATACATGGCTCAGAGTTTAAGAGCATTGCTTGCTCTTCCAGAGGTCCTGAGTTCAATTCCCAGCAACCACATGGTGGCTCATAGCCTCTATAATGATATGGTGCCCTCTTCTGTCGTTCAGGTGTATACAATGTTCTGCCTAAACATAGTATACATAATAAATAAATCTTAAAAAAAAAAAAAAAAAAGAAGAAAACCACACTTAATTAAAAACAAAACAACAAAACTGAAGCTGAGCTGGGTGTCGTGGTGCATGTTTTAATCCCAAAACTTGGCAGGCAGAGGCAGGCGGATTTCTGTGAGTTTGAGGACACACTGGTCTTCAAAGCAAGTTCCAGGACAGGCAAGAATACACAGAGAACCCTGTCTTGAAAACCCAAACCAAACAAACAAAAAACTATAGCTGGGAAGGAAGGAAGGTGAGAAAAGTTGAATAGTAGAATGCAAAGTTTTCAGTATGGGCCATCCCCTGCCAGGCTTGCTGGGCAGTTGGTTTGTGAAAAGAAGCATGCTTAGTAAGATAGAACTTAAGTAAACATAAAGAATCTGGACTTTGGTGACTGACAGCACAGGTGTTACATACTTCTAAGCCAGGCATAAGATGGTGTTAGCTGACTTCTAAAGACGTAAGATCCCCATCTCCCAAGAGACCCAGAGCAGTTAATGCAGAACCCAGAGCTTTCAATCTGCTAAGTAGACTTTATTATTATTATTACTATTATTACTACTATTATTATTAAAAAGTTTTAATACACTCATTTACTTTCTGGCTATCTTAACAATGGCAGAAGTCAGTTCTAATTCTGACTCTGGCTCTAGGACAACCGAGTCAGCCAAGGACCAAAAAGGAATTTACAAGTAGAAAAAACAGACTGTCAGCCAAGACATCTGAAGATGGTTTTGCCTTTAAGGTCAAAGCAAGGAAAGCAGAAATGTCAAGGACAGGGTTTGTGGTTGGATTTATATCTATTATATATATATATTTCACATGCGTATTATCATCAAGGTCATTTTTAATTTTTAGAGAAAGGAATGCTGCAGACTCCCTATGCTGAAGTACCATTTTCCTAAACAGCCATTTTCTTGTTACAAGATTTCCAAGACTGTTAGGTATGGCGGCTCAGACATGTGGTCCTAGAACTTGGGAGGCTAAGACAGGACGACTGTCCTGATTTTGATACCATCCTAGGCTAACATAGCCAGGTTCTGTCTCAAAAAACAAACAAATGAACAAACAAAGAAAAGCCCACAAAAAATAAAGATATCCCAAGTAGATCCTCCACACAAACACTATCTTTTTCTTGCCTTTCGGTTCGTATTTAAAAATAAGACTGTCAAGATCTGGCTTCTCATTTACCTTAGCAACCCAAAGTCAGCCTTCTGGAAGACCTTGGGTGAGGCAGCTGCCAAAGTTTCATACACAGCTTAGCAAAGAGGGGCAGTGACAAGGCCAGAGACCACCCGTGGAGACTTCTAGATGTTCCATGTCTCTCAAGAGCCATATTGGAGCTTACCTATCAGGGCTGTCAGAGGCGCACACAGAGTCAATCAGCCCCACATCCAATGTGCCCTGGAAAGGAACAGAAAGGAGATGGTGAGGGAGCAACCAGGGAATGACATCACAGGGCATCCCTAGATTAGGACTCCTGAGTAACCAAACTAAGGACATGCCTCCTTTTTTGGTGAGCTGCAGAAGAGCAGTTATTAAAGAAAAATTCCTTCCCTTTAATGAGTTCTGACTGTCTCTAGACGGGGCTCAGCTTATAGTCACTCCTTGAAACACTGGAACCCATCAGGCAGCAGGCAGCCCCTCTTGTTCTTAAAATACTTTCACTGAAGTCTACCTGTCAACAGTGTAAATTTACTGATTTGTGCTAGGATCCTATAGTAACAATTATGCTGCAAAGAAACACTGGACTTTACAGTTTTCTGTGGGCTGGGGAGGGGAGCTAGCTCAGTAGTTAAGAAAGTATACTGCTCTTGTAGAGAACTTGAATTTAGTTCGCAGCACATTGAGTGGCTGACCAGCTCCTGAACCAGAGCTCCAAGAGGATCTGATGCCCTCTTCTGTTCTCTGCGGGCAGCTGCAACACACATGCACATACCTAACCTAAACACAACTAAAAGTAAAAACAAACTTTTTAAAAAATAAACTATTAAAAGAAACTTGCATAGTTAAAAATCACATCTTTAACCTTTAAAATCACATATAAAATGTTTTTAAAAACTTAATGGTTCCTCATAAGGAAAAAAATTATTAAAAAAAACATAACTTCCTATGTGTACTGTGTGTCACAATTTACTTGCTTCTTTAAAATAAAAGTTTCAGCTGCTTCTGTAATACCATAACAATTGTGATTTTTTTAAGAGTTGAGTTGGAAGATATGGAATGTAGCACACGTCTCCTGTAATATGATTTTTCTATGCAAGATTTTAAGCAGAATTAGGATTTAAATAGTCCTGCTTTTCTCCTTAGTGATTATAATCTCTTTTACTTACAGAGATTACCCAGACATGCCCAGTGCCCCCTTGCCCAGCCTGATGGCCTTCCCAATGCCGCCTCTAGACACCAGCCTCCCCTGGTCTCTGTTCACTCACCACAGCGTTCTGGGGGTTTGCCTGCTCATCGTGCATCTCTCTGATCTCCTGGTCTGTGGACAAGTGGACCTGACTCAGCACGCTGAACCACTGGCTGTGGAGAGAGAGGGCAACAGTCACGGGTGGCCAGGCTCGGAGTGGCAAAACAATGCCTCTCCCTGTTTCCTGCCCACAAGACACTGTCTCTGAGCCATATTTCTGTTTCTCACAGGAAAGATGGGGTCCACATGATCATAAGCAAAGTTAAAACACACACACACACACACACACAAAAAAAAAAAAAAAAAAACAAAAAAACAAAAAAACCAAACCCAACTATCTTTTAGCAGGCTGTATTGTCACATTAAGTCCCTCCCCTCCCAGTCCTCACCACCACTGAGTTCTGTATCTATGTCCTAGAAACACCCATCCAAAGAGAGAAAGTTAACAATGGAGGAGAAGCCACCTCAGACCCAATGCCTGATGTCTGTTTTTCTCCTCAGGGCACACTGGGGTTTCCATGGCCTGCCAAGACCTCCACCCAAGTGAGCAAAACAGGACGGGAAAGAGGGAAATCAAAACAGGTATCTAAACCAAAAGCAGAAAGTTTTTGTGATCAAAATTCTTCCATTTTCATTTCAACTGGGTTTTCTCACTTCCAGCCTCATCATAATCACAAAGAATATAACAAGCAAAAGTCATGTGGATTTCAGAAAAACCCAAGCAGAAAAAAAAAAGTCCCACTAGAACCAGGAGCCTGAGACATGCAGAAAGAAAATAGCTGAAACATACATATTTACATACATACATACATACATACATACATACATACATACATACATACATACATACATTCATACATACAGTGCTGATGACACAAACAGACCAGGGGATAGAGAAGCCAAAGCACCCCTTCTCTTGCCAGGGCTTTTCTTCTATCTTAATAAGAGCACATTTCTACTAGGAGGGAACTTTCACTAAGTAAGAGGAAAGACTTGGTATGTAATAGAATATTTAAGTGAAAAGATAACATCCCCACATAAAGCCTAAATATTTGCAGCAAAAACTAAATCTACTTCCGAAGACTCCTAATGGAGAAAATGCTTGAAAATACTCAATACTGCAGATTCGTGGAGTAAACAAAGCAGAAAAGTCATCCTCATCTGCCCTTGCTCCATCCATCTTGGTTGACCAGAAGGTACGCTGCAGTCATGACTCTGCAACTTCAAAAAAATCTCCCCTAAACCAAACACTGCAACATACGTAACTCAAGATGTATCTCATACAAATTGCGCGCGCGCACACACACACACACACACACACACACACACACACACACACACAAAATTTAATACATACACACAAACAAAATTATAAAGCATATAAAACTTTAAATCTATAAAGGGATTTTTCTTTTAATGTGTTCCACTGGCTAAGGAGAAAAGGTTTTGGCTAAAATGTTCCAAACGTTAAATTTAGCAGGTTCATTATGGCACAAAACAGACAGACCAACTGCCAGCTGCCTGGCCTGTAATTCAGCTGAGAACTTGTGGGCAGTCTCTGGACCACAGAGAGCCACATGTGGTCTCTAGGAGTCCCAGACAGAATGCTGGAACTGTAATTTCAGGTTTGCTTGCTTTTCCAGTTTGTGCTGTAATTTATGAGTTCAGCCAGGGCTTCAGTTTGTTCCCATGGGAAGAATCACTTTCTGGTGTCTTTACCCTTCATGATGCTGCCAAGGTGCTAGAGCAACTTAAAAACACCCAAAGGGCAGGCAGGAGGAGGTGAGCGATGGGTCTGAGAACTCAACAGGAAGTGCTGGTAACTTCTGGGCTGAACACTGGATAGCAGAAACCACTTGCTGTCGTGCTCATGGATTATCACCTAGCAGTGCTCAGAACAGGTGACAACCACAACCGCCTCCACAAGAACTGTTGAGTTCCACAATGGCCCAAGGGACAGGACACCCCACTGTGTCATAGAGACTACACGGCCTGGGATGTATCTCACCAAAGAGCAAATGTCACTTTACCCTAGCCTTGTTTCCTCCCACTGCTCAGTGCTCCAAAACAGAAGGTCAGGATTCAAAGGCAGCAGCTTATACCAGCTAACAAGTGACTCTGTTTCCCCTCACCTCATCCAGAGGCTGAAGCCCCTTTGGAAAGAAAAGCAGGAGTGATGGGTCCATCCAACAGAACTGAGCTCGATTTCGATGACAGGCTGTGTTTGCCTTACCCTGTCACAGTCTGCAAAGTACAAATCATGATACCTGCCCCATAGGACTGAACCGAATGAGTTTAATGCCGGCTGCAGCACAGTTATGTTAGTCAAAGCCTGGCCACAGGCAGGCTTTCAAAGGAGAGACTTTCAAATCCTCTGCATGCCACAGCACTACCAGCCATTAAGACGATGACGGCTGTGGTAGCTGACTGTTCTTTATATGTCTGTACAAATCCTTCTGCAGCTCAGACATCCACAGGGATGGCTTTCAGTGATTTTTGTACTACGTGCTACCGGAAATGAAAGCTCAAGGTTTTGTCTTATCTGGTGGTATTTGATGCAGGGAAAAAAATGTGAAACTGCAGTACTTGAAAACACCTCCTAGGGCAAGACTGTCTAAGGGATAAGACATACATCACCTATTTCTTTAACTGTTCTAATAAAAAACACAGTTAAAAAACTAAGCCTACCCCCTAAAAAAAAAAAAAAAGAGTAAAAAGCTGGGCATGGTAGCACACTCCTGTAATCCCAGCGTTCATGAAGGCGGATGCAGGTGGATCTCGGTGAGTTCAACGCCAGCTTGGTCTACAAAGTGAGTCCAAGATAGCCAAGAGCACACAGAGAAACCCTGCCTCGAAAACAAAAACAAACCAACGAAACCCCTAAACCACCTCTGAAGACAACAAAATAAGCAGTGTTTCTGTGAGGCTCGTATCTGAACTCAGGGGAGGACAGGAGGAGGAGGGAGCCCATCCCACAGGCTCACCTGGCATCTTCGGGGGATTCCGCGATGAGATGGAAGGTCCTGTCGGCCATAATAATGTCGATCCCATTCTCTTTGCTGGTGTTGTCTATGATCTCCCTGCGAGACACACAAGCAGCAAATTGAAATCAAGAATGCAGACGTCTTAGGAACAACCGAGAAAGGTAATTTTACAAAAAAATGACCAAGTGGGAAAGCGTTTCTTTAGAAATTATATGGCACGCCGCTTCGCACCCCCATTCGTGGGAGATGTCTTCTGAGATTCCTAGGAGGCCCCTGAGACTGGGCACAGAAGTGATCGTTACACACATGGACCCCCATAGAGTGTAGAGTGTCCGTGGCCAGAGCACCTGAGGCCGAGTGTTTTATACTTCAGAACAGGACCTAAATCTAAACATAGGATGTATTTATTTTCCACACATATGTAGCCTGAAGGCATTTGCTTTATGCTAAGCAAAAGGTATGCTATGGGGCTATGCTCCAGTGGAATGCAACTTTATAAAGTGTCTTCCACATGCCTGAATTTTGACTGTAACCCATCATGTGAGGTCAGAGCGGAATTCTCCACTTGAGGCATCCTAGCAGCATTCAAAATTCAAAGAATCTTAGATTTTGGATTTCCAGATTGGGGCATACAACCCATATAAGCATTGAACTGTAAAGCTTACTTTGCAAATTAGACATAACAAGGATGACCAATAACAGAACAGAATAATTGCAAAACCCCAAAACAAAGGTAGCTGACCATTCTCTCATTCCCCATTTTTCTCCCTCTAAAGATGAAATTTTTTTCTGTTGTTTTTTGACCACAGGGAACTGAAATCATAAACATGAATAGAATTAAGGACCAGCTCTCCAGATAAATAAAGCACATTGTCACCAGCGTTTTAAGTGACCTCCAGGGGGAGCCAGACTCCTCTATGCTCTGCATGGGGTTAGGGATGGGGAGAGGAGGGAGGAGGGTGCCAGGGTGCTTCCCTGATGTCTCTTTGCAGGGACCTTTTCTCACAGTGCACACCCAATGTCTGACTTTCCTCAAGGCCTAGAAAATCCTTCCTCCTCCCTGTCTGATGTATAATAGGAGGAAACCCAGAAGGCAGCCTAGCCTGGTATGAGCTGGTTTACTTCAGCAGCTGCAGTTAGATGATGCCACTCGTAAGCTCCTGGGTTGGATATGTGATAAAGTAGGTATTTACTGGCAGGACTCTGAAGAAGGAATTAGCTATGAGGCTCTACTATTGTGAACAGACTAAGGTTCTTGGGGCTGAACATTGCTTTATTTTGTTTTGTTTTTCTTTTTCTTTTCATTTCTCTACTCCAGGTCCTCACACTCCCCTCCCTTTTTCTGCAGTGCTGGAATTGAATCCAGGTTCTGCGCATGCTGGAAAAGCATTCTACCACTGAGCTACATCACATCCGTACTTTTAATTGTGATAGGAAGCCAGGCTGGCCTCAAACTGGCAAGTCTTCTGCTTCCACCTTTACCGAGAGGATTCAGCACATGTGCTACCTGAGCCATTCCTTGCTCTCTTCCGAAAGCATGCTTGCCTTCAGCCAGGGATGACAAAGTAAGATGTGTTCTCTTAATCTCAGATTTCTTAGTGTTTACACCGTGGCAACATAAATCTCGTTCATTAGAAATCCCCCAGCTGTGGTTATTTGTTACGCAGAACAGACTGAAGGAGAAAGAAGCTTCCCATCACAGGCTGAGGCCTGACCAGCACCTGCCATAGGCTCCCCAGCTCTCCACACTGCCTCCGTTAGGGGCTATGGAGCAGGGGCAGGATTTGGTGTCATCTCGATGTCACCTAGACACTCCTGAATTAGTATCAGAGACAAAATGATGGGAACAGGCTACCTAAATCAGGGTAAAACACAAACAGGTAACAAGATCATACAAGAGTTGGCAATGCATTTGACGTGAGAACGGTCTTGAGGATAGGGCCAGTTTGCTTTGAGACCTGAAGCAGTGAATTTACTCACAGCAAAACACTTCTATTGTATCAACATAACTGAAATTCTATCAGGCTAAAAACAATAAATGCGGTATGACTATATTGCTAGGTTCATGGAAACAAAGTTAAATACATTTTGGGCCAGAGGGATGGCTCAGCAGTTAAGAGTTCCTACCGCTCTTCCAGAGGAGCAGAGTTCAATTTCTAGCACCTGTGTCAGGTAGCTCACAACTGCCTGTAAGTCTAGCATCAGGGAGACCTGAGACCCTCTTCTGACTTCCGTGAATACCCACATACACGTGCACGGCCCTTTTCAACACAAATACACATAAATAAAAATAAAGTTTTAAAATAGGAAACCCAAGAACAAATGAATTATATTTTAAAAAATTCAGCTAAAATCAGGGGACAGTGAGATGGCTAAGAGGAAGAAGGTGCTTGCTGCAAAACTGGTGACCTAAGTTCAATCCCTAGAACCCATGGTGGAGGAAGGAACTGACCCACAAAGTTGCCCTCTGATTTCCCCACAAGCACCATGGCATATGTACTCACAAACAGGGTGCACACACACAACCAATAATCAAATCTGAGGGTAAAAAGAAAGGGTGGTCTGTGATGCCTCTGCAGAGAGGGGAGGGTGGCCCAGTGGGTCTCATGATGGATGCTATTCCAGTTTGCTCACTACTGATGGGCTAAACACCATGACCAAAAGCAACCTGGGGCGGAGGAAGGAGTTTATTTGGGTCCTGATCACCGTCCACACTGACAGAAGTCAAGACAGGAACTGAAGGAGGGTAGGGACTTATGCAGAGGCCATGCAGGAGTGCTATTTACTGGCTTTCTCAACATGGCTTGCTTAGCCTGCTCTCTTATGTCACCCAGGACCACCTGCCCAGGGTTGGCCCCCCTACAGTGGTCTAGGCTCTCCTACATCAATCACAACTCAAGAAAGTGCCCCCACAGAGCGGCCTGCACACCAATTTAACCAAAGCACTTCCTCAGTTGAAGTTCCCTCTTCTCAAATGACCCTGGCTTGTGTCAGGCTAACAAAATGCAGCCAGCACAGATCCCATAGGCAGAAGAAAGGTCTCCAGGAACTCTTACTTTAGCAGGTGCTTTTCATCTCAGACCTCATGAGTAAATGGGGCTCTAGACACTATGGCCAGCCTCACAGCTTTGCAGCTCAAAATCCCAGGAATGTTCAGAAACACAGGCAGGGCCCCAGGAAACAAAAACACCTTTCTCTCAAGAGTGGAGCTGTTGTTGACAGGGCTACAGTGTAGCTGAGCTCCAATTCAGGACTTTCCCAAATGCTGAAGAGGGAAATAACTAGAGAATGGCCTTCTGTTGAGAGAGCCCCAGTCTGAACGGAGAGCAGAGAACATCCTATCACATTGAAAACAAGAAGTTCTCAGAAAGGGCTAGAACTACATGAAACAGATCAAGGACTACCAGCGGACTTCCAGCATCCAGATGGTGCTACTGTGTGATTCCTTAGGAATCATGTAGAGCTACAGTGGCCGGAACTCACGAAATCAGGTAAATCCAGAAGCTCGTAATGATTCTTGGAAAAACAAAAACAGTAAAATTGTCACTGCTGGATGACAGGAACCTACTCATTTTCCTGGAAACTGGAGGATGAAAGGAAAGGTAAGCATTTAGCTTGACTATCCTGTATGAAGAGTAGCTCAGGATTACCATTTCCTGTTCAGGAAATGTTTTCTTTATAGAATACCTTAGGTAATAGATGAGCACAGTCAGCATCAGGTTGAAAATATTCAGAAAACTACTCCTGTGCTGAACAAAAGTAGGATTTATCAACATTCCCTTAATTAATATAAATATTTATATAACATTCACATTGTACAGATCTTACTGGATCTTGATTAAAAAACAAAACAAACAAACAAAAAGAACCTATACAATCTTGACCACTCCTCCCAGAGGCAGCTGTGGGAAACGTGGACCAGCCTGGACCACCAATGCCATGGATTATGTTCCCAAAAGAATCTTCAGAGCAAACTAACATATTCACAAGAAATGATGCCAACGACTTGCTTCAGCAAAATGCACTTGGTCAGAGAACAGGTCAGTGGTGTCCCTTGAGCATAGGTGGAGAGTCACTGAAGCTACGTAAGGGTATGAATTTTGTTATCACCTCTGTTCAAATGCTGTCCCTTGGTGTCTGAGGCTCTAGGACCTGCCTCAGACACCAACCCATGCAGCTGCTGAAATTCCTCACGTTTGTATATGACCCAAGTGTTCTCTCTTACACTTTGCCTGTCTAGCTTACCAGTAATACTCATTGCAGTGTAAATGCTGCTGTTTCACACTGTGCAGTAACCAGGGACACGCCTGCCTATTCAGGACAGATGTGCCTTCCCGAATAATTTTATTGAATATGCAGATATGGCTATGGAGGGTCACCTGCATGCTATTTTCTTCAGATGAAAACCTCCACCTTTTTCTTTATTTTGTTCCCTCTCCCTCTCGCCCAGACTCCTAGCACTTGTGGCCTCATCCTCATCTATGGGATGAATAAAGTGGAGCACAGAGGGCACAAAGCTGACAGTGGCATGAGAGCTGGGCCAAGCTATGAACACTACAGACCCAAATTGCCCCAAGTCTAATCTTGCTCATAATGAACTCCTATAGGACAGCCTGGAAAGACCCCAAAGTTTCCTATCTGTTCTTTATTAATGGTCCTAAAATACATAAAAGTTTTTCCTCATTTTACTTTCTACATTCCCAAAGTAATTTTCCTAAGTGCTGATGCTGGCTCATGAGAAACAATCCTCCATTTTCAAGTCTTATGGCTTTCAGGGTCAATTTGTTCTCTCAAAGCTCATTTTGCCATTTTTCCAAATATTTGTGGTTTCCCAGTTTTAAGCAGTACAGGTACAAGTTATTCCCAAACAATTATATTTTTTATGTTTAGTATCTAGTTTTTCCAAGAAAAACAGCTGCCCCCAACCCCAACAATTTTCAAAAAACATTAAATTTTAACAAAAACAGTAGTCCCTTGATAGTCCAAAACCTTGGTTCTAAAAGGGATTGTTGTCAGGAAAGAAGGTTGTGTGAAATTCAAATCCTAGCTCTGTTTTTCCACTGTGGGGGAATTGTGGGAGTTAGTGCTAACATCACAGCTAGAAGATAATGATTCATTTCAAAACACCTGTCAATCAGCTCTTCCTTTAGCTTGTTGGATGGCAGCCAGAGAGAAACAGGCTGACTCCACAGGAGAGCTCTCTACCAAGTATCCCACATTCACATCTGAATTTTTTTCCCAGTTTATTGAGATAGGGGCTTACCATAAAGGTCAGGCTGCTCCCAAACTCTCAAGTGGCCCAGGTTGGTCTCCAACTCAGTTTTCCTACCTGAGCCTTCCCAGAGCTGAGTTTAGGGGTGTGCATTATACCCGGCTTCGTTCAAGACAACTTCCTCTGCATGCGCATCATTACCTTTCCAGTGTGTATATGTCCAAAGGCCTATCTTCCAAGTGAAAATCAACAACTGAGTGCAATTGCAACCACAAAAAATAAAATAAAGTAAAATAAAAGATGGCCCTGAGATTAGGTCTTGTTTCCCAGTTCATTCACAATTTAACTTACCTAAGTGAATTGTTAAGACTGAGTACCTACGCTAGTCTACTGTTGCAGAGATCTCATGGGGTTGTGAGAAAGTTCAGTATGTAAAATAGGTGCTATGCAAGCTCAAGGGCCTAGGTTCAAGGCCCTAAACCCACGTAAAGAATCTGGGTATGATTTGAGCATCTGTGTAGTCTAAACCCAGCTTGTACTATGCACACATACCCCTCTCCTTACAATACATCCTGCAACCTGTTGGTAACTCAGGAGCTCTACCTGCCTCTACCCATATGCACACTGTACTCTAAATATTGGAATAAATTTCTCCTGCCCATAGCTACTGACAAATGTGTACAGTTTCTTGTCAACCATACTCTAGTTACAGCTAGGTGAAGTGAAAAGGAGCCTAGAAGTAATTTGGGGTCCATGTACAGTCATGCAAACTGAGTCCTGTATTTAGGGAGAATATCCTATTTACCACCTTATGCCTATACATAACTGGCCATGCTGGAGGTCGGTGTGATGCTAGGCACTGGCCCTCTGTGTAAACCCGCCTAAGTCATTATACCTGATTGGCTATTTAAACAGGGCAGGGAAGAATGGGGGCTAGGTGTGGCTAAGGTTCCCTGGCTTTGGGAGTTTAAGAGAGAATAACAAAAAACAGATGCACAGGAAGAAAGGAAGGAGGAAGATGCCAGGATGGGTTAGTCTGGAGAAAACACCACGTGGGCTGAGGAAGGACTCCAATAATGGCAGAAAAAGGCCCAGACGGAGAATATAAGAAGTACCATTGGATTATGGATGGACAGTAGTCCAGCTGAGGGGGATTACGGTGGATGGCATTGGATGGGGGCTGGGAGATGGATGGTGACAATTTTGAGTCAATGTACGTGAAATATCGGCCTGGCCCAAGGTAAATAAGGCAATTATAAATCTAACAGGTGGTTGTGTCTTATTATCTGTGATAGCAGGTTAAATAATACCGCTGTGATAATCTTAGGGCTAATTAATAATAATGTATAGCTCAACCCTCATCATTTCATTTATTTTACAACAACACATATATTAAAGGTTACATAACTAAAATCTGTCACTCAAAATAGAGAGCTGCCCATATTATATCTCCAAATATATATATAGATTTATTCCTATATCCCTTTAGGTCCCATAGAAGACTGCCTCACATGACCTGCTGTCATCTGTGTCTGTGCCATCACTCTGCTTTTTAATAGTGTCCCTTTTCTTTGTTAGTTGTCAGGGGAAGGGAGAAAAAGCTGAGTGTGCTGGCGCGTACTAGCAATCTCAGCACTGGGGGGG